TCGATCTATAGCAATCAAGCATAAATTCAAAATGGAAAGGTATAAGACGTTCCTACCACGTACATAACAGCTTTGCATATGATGGTTCCTTTATAGTAATCAAGTACATTCAGCACCGCTTGGGTATAAGCATGGAGGGAACATATCATCGATACAATGTCGGAGATACATGATACTAACATAAGCTGATACGTTGATTTGTGAAAATATTTTTCGAAAGTAAATATATAAAGTAGGAAGATGTTAGCCATCAGTCCGATAGAAAATAAGACGATGGCAATAATAGAACCATAAGTATAGATTGCTGAGATGATAGCCTTTCGTTGGAAACTACCATTCATGTTCCTGTAGTAATTATGAAGATTGATAACTAGATTTTTTTATTAGCCTAACTGATGCTGGAATTGTTTAAAGAGTAAAGTTTTTATGCTTAAAGCAAGTGAATTGCCAGGTAGATGAAAATAATAAAGACTGAAAGTATTGAGGAAAGATAAATTTTTCTAATTGCTACTTGAAGCATAGACTTCATCTTTAGCCATAATTACAGTTGTAAATAACTAATCATCTATTAAAATAAAAAGATGCCTGAAAACATATAATCTGATCTGGACAATCTTCTGTATTAAACTATTGACTAGACTTGTACGAATACGGAAGATATTGCTTATCAAGCGCTCGAAATAATAGCTTTGGTTATTGTTTTCTATTCTTATGATATCTGGGATGACTATGATTATGAATAGCTAGCAATGTCTATTAATTATTGAGGTCTAAAGGCTTACTGAACGATAGAATAAATTAATACATACAATATTACCTATTTTGAACGTAATTGTGATTCATCAGGATGATTGTTGTCCGTTACTGCATGTCTTAATTTAAAATCATGTTACTCAATTTGTGTAGCAAAAGCTCTTAATATGCTAATGACACAAAGTGCTATTATGCTATGTTTACTGTATAACTATTTATTATATGATTCAACGGGTAGTAGTGTAAATAGTCGAATAAACAAGCTAAAAGTAAAGTATTCGCAAAAGTTTGCTAAGATTATTATTTCTAGCTAATCACATCGAGATCTTAAAATGAATGCTATTTCTAAGGTGTGGCTCTATGTTTCTGGAATTTGTTGCCTTAATTACCATCAGAACAATCTGTAAAAATGATCTTGTATAAATCACTCGTATAAGGAAAGTAGATAAGAATTTCATTTCTAATTTTTGACTTTGTAAGTTAAAGATGTTTTTAGAAAATCTGCTGTCATATTACACGTATTGAAATAATGCTAAAATAGTAAGAATAGATGAAATGCCAATCAAGGCGACAGCTATTGGCAGCTATGAAAGTAATTGGTGTAATATCTACTTTTTTAATAAACAGTCAAATAGCGATTCTGGGTGTGTTTGTTCCAGTATCATCTTAACTTAAGATATTGTGTTGTACCTATAGCAATAGTTCATTAACATTCATTAAAAGTATTTGATTTAAATTAACAATCGTTGTATGCCTAAGCGATAAATAACTTTTATAAATTTAAGGCTGTCATACTATCTGTTATTGGTAATGAATAGCGAATTATCTAGCCTTAAATTTCATTAATTCTGCGTTTTTTATTTAATCATCTTTCTAACTACCGGTATTTAAAAATAGTTTCTATTCAATATAATGAATTACCTTGCTCAATCTATGAAAAGATACTGAAAATGCGAAAAACTATGTTATTTATGCTATCATTCTTATAAATAACGTTCATTTAATAATAAGGAGTAAATTTCTGTCAGGACTTGATAGCTTAAACGGAAAGAAAAACATATTTCTGAACATGTAATGAATAATTTAAATCTCTGCCGGTACTTTGCATAAAATATCGATACTGTTCATAATTTACATTTGAACAATGTATGTGGCATAGGTTAATGAAACCAAAGTCTATTGTGCCAGTATTTCATGTTCCGCAGCATTGAATAGATTTCCTCGAAATTAACATAGCAATCGCTACTGTTCTGCACGTTCATTAAATACTAAATATTTAACGAAAGGTGTGAGTGATATTTAATTTTTTTTATGGCTACCTTTCCTTTACTGATTTACCGAATAATATTACTATTTAAAAAAATCCTATCAAATGCTGACGTTAAGAATATCCAGAAGAATTTGCATTTGATTTACAGACATATAGCTAATATTGAAATTTCTCCTGGGAAGTTAACTTCCACTTTTTAGGAATACAAAATGGTGTTACGATTTTGCTAACTTATGTCGCTGCTGCTGTTGAATCATATTTAATTCGAAGTAGAAGGCATAGTAACTTTTCCTCCTTTCTTCTTAAAAGCTTTAAGAGTACAAAGTTTGGACTGCATTCTGTCTGTATAGCATAATGTATATCTTGCAAGCGTTATTGATGTAATACGATTGTTAAACGTCGATATGAGTTCCCTTATCATTAAAATAGGACTATAATTAATATTTTGATAATGCTTAGCAGCCATTGTCTATCATCACGTTTCAAGGTATAGATTTCTTAAATAAAATATTTCACGAAGCTTTCGTGAGGATTGCCATGATAAAATTGCACACTCAATCCTTCTCTTGGCAATATGAAGGTTGTAAACGAAGTTGCCTCTTGATATTTTTGTGACTGTTAATAAAGAGCCCGTACATTTCATCTATAGAGGTTATAATAAATTCTGTTCCGATATCTGGTTTTGCATATTTCAATATTCTTTAAATTGCAATCGCTACTCTTATCTTAACTAATTTTTGTGATAATGACAATTAATGTAACGTAGATTCCATAAGATAACATATCTAGGAATGTATTTACATTAATTTCTCTATGCCACAAGCACCCTTGCGACACATGAAAACAATTCAGTGCTTATAATAAACTTTACTTTTGGTACCGTATATAGACAATTTTCAATTAACTTTCTTATTTTGTAAGTAAAGCATCGGATTAGAGAAATAATCACAGGTACGTTGCATCACTTTAGGATTTAGTTATTTATGGTATTATCAAAATGTGTAACATAAAATTACGTTGATGATGATGCTGCTGTGATTTGGCTAGTTAGCCATGTACAGGAATTGTAGAATAGTATGGGAGTGATTCAGAAGTACGTAGAAATGCAACAACTTCGGTAGGATCGGCAAAGGAAATAATCACGTTAAAATATGGCCAAAATGATCTAATTAATTTAATTTATAAAAATAATTTCCGGTCCATATGTCTTAATTCTACTAGAGATAGTAGAAATACTTCGAGTTTTATAACAACCAGTTCCAATACCTTGTTTTTTTTAATGAGTACCATTTTTGGTAAGCGTTTGATCTATGGTAATTTACGTAATCCTGTTGTTAAGTAGTAATTTACAGCAAATTTCTATTTTCTCATAATAGTCTCACAATGTAGGTAGATTAAAATCAAAAAGAATGGAAAATTCAAACATCTACTTCTAAAGATATGAATAATGTCTAGAACTTTAATGTCTTCAGTTTCTTTTTCCACTCTCATGCACCTACATATGCATGTTTGATAAAATTGGTAAATCGATTATAATAATTATGTAGTAGGTCACAAATTGTCGCAGTTACCTTTAATTGTTCTTTTAAATAAAGGCAAATAACAAAATGGGCATGAAATTGTACAGCACTTAACCTGCCATGCGAAAATGGTGGGATTAGTGTTAATTAATTAATATCGGAACCCATTCACACTTGTATCACCAATGTATTAAACACGCTTCTGAGGTATTCTCTAAAGCGCTACCGGTACTATTCGTGAATTTGAAGTTAGTAAATTTTTTGCAAGCACCATCTTAATCAATTGGCATAAAATGAGTTTTGGTACCACGGATACCGCCAACATTTATTTATTTATCAAATTCAAGGTGAAGAAAAAAAAATTAAGGCCAACTGTGAAGATTAGTGAGCATTCTCGTTTTCCTTAATGCAAATTGTTCTTAAATTAATATGATTCTTCCAGATTAGCTTTGGATAGAAAATGTATTCTATTCTATCAGTTATGGATAACTTCTTCTACAATCATTACTAATATGGTTGCTTCAATTTGTTATCTATTCTGATAACTGACTGGTATAACCTTACGATTATTTGCCTAGCCCACATCTTCACTGTACTGATGCAGTTGTACTGTATAGTAGGTTGTACTAAGCAACGTAATAAATCGATTTAAGATTTAAGTGCACTATTATTTTTGTTGAGATCTATACTGATTTGCCAGAATTATAGTCATGGCTTTATTTTCGATTGCGTATAATCGCCAGTTGGGCTTGTTATATCAGTGATCAATTTAACATATCAATTTGTTCGAAATTATATGATTAATATCTGAATAAGGAAGATTCTTGAACCACTTTGTATTAATATTTAATAAATCATTACAATAAGCATTTATGAGCTTGCTGATTATTTCTTAAAAGGATATTGATTACAATCACTATTATTACGACATTCCTATGCATTGGTTAGCGACACTAACGAATGAAGGAATGAATTACTACGGTTAAAACATACATTACAAACGTGATTAATTATTATAACCTTATAAATGATATAGTAGTTCCAAATAAAATGCTGTTCAAAAAGTAAATGTTCTATTTGTTAGAGATTTATCTTATACTATTAATTACTAACAAAAAATGTAAAGAAGTTGTGTTAAAACCAAGTTATTAGTTTAATTTTCTTTACGCATGAATTTTATTGTAATTCTGAGGCTAATTTTAATCATAAAGTTATGTAAAAAAAGTTGTAAAAGTCTGATTAGGTCGAAAAGTTGACTCTATTTTTCATCATTATATTTTTGGCGGAATAAAGCCATACTAAAAGAATAATTTTACAATAAATTCCGAAATTGAACACAACACGAATTCATCACTGTTTGAAATGCTATAAGGAATGGTTAAAATTTTAGATTGAAGTTTTTAACTGTGATCGTAGATATATTTTTCATGCCATTGCTTTTTAAAAGCAAAACGTAATTAAGTTGATGCTGCTGTTGGTGTTTGACCTGAATTATTAAAAACTGCCCGGGTCGATATGGTCTTTTCGTAGATAAAATTGCGAATGGCTCCTAATCTTGTTAATGCTTTTTTGCTTAGTTTTTTATCAAATGCAAGATATAAAAAGGGATTGATTGTTGAAATACTGGCTGTAACAGAGATAGAGAAAAATATCAATAAAAAAGCTACTAAACTATCTTGGCGAATTTTGAGTAACGATTTTTGCGTAATAGCTGAACCAAGAAAGACAAAGGATGTCGGTATAGTAGTTATTACATAGAAGAAGCTGATAGTTCCTAACATTTTAGTTAATTGACGCTTATTAATATCATTTTGGAGTTGGTTTCGTCCCATTTGTCCTGGTTGTACATAATTATTTTGATGAATAATAATTCTTCCGTAAGTGATGCTAATAATTGACGATGGTAAAATATTGTCAATTAATACAAATGATATCAAATAGGCCGAAACTGAATTGGTTATGTCGGGAAAATCGCACAAAAGTGTATCTTGTCGATGGACTGACATGTAGAAAAATGTTGGAATATGGATTAATAAGGACAATATCCATATTCCTATTTCACATGTGATCAAAAATTGGCGTCGATAGATTCGATAAAATGGCGATAATGGCCTAATAATAGCATAATATCTATCGATAGCAAGTAATGTTAAGGTCGAAATGGATATGCCGTAAGAGCTAGCATAAATATAAACATAATAGCGACACATTAGTGACCCACTGTGATAATCATGATGATGTATAGCGATCTGGATAAAGGTAATCAATGAAGTGATGTTAGCAATGATATCTGAGCAAATTGAAATTAATAGTAAATCATATGTTGCCTTGCGAAAATATTTATCAGTTATAAAGAGAATTAATAAAAAGATATTAGCGATTAACCCAACAACTGTAATAGGGATTGCACCAATAGCAGCATAAGAATAAACAGTGTTGTAAAATTGTTGCATTGATTGATTTACATTGCTGTTATTCATCATGAATTTCCAAAGGTCATAAAGATTTACGTGCTTAGAACGTCTTGATAACGAAGATTCTAACTGCTTGTTAAAAGTACGCGATGATAGACTTATTATACTAATCTACTAAATCTATCCACTGGTATTTTCTACATATTAATTGAAAGAACGTAGTTAATAAAGGATTCAATTAATTGTAGAGCCAAAGCTGATTGACAGTGTTGTGCAGTAACAATGACGTTTCAGAACAATTCCACCTTATAGAATGGAATTGTTGATTACTCTACTTTAATAAAAGATAAAAAATTGAATTAAAAATTTATCAATAAAATACAGGTCTGGTAGAATACTTGTTGTTGCTTTTTTAATAATTAATCTAGAATGTCTGCTAAGTCCATAAGTGATACGAAATCGAAAACTGTGAAATTCTCTTATTTGAACACCGTATTTTGTGCATCTAAATTGATATATCGATATTTTATGTTGATTTAAATCTTATCCGATTGCATGTAATGATCGTAAAATTCTAATTATAACCGTCAGTTGTTAAGTTTTCTTTCATAAATTTTATTTGTATTACTATATGAACTTACCTTGGTATTACATTTTTAACATCAATAACCTGAAGGTCGACAAAGGCCATAATTATGAAATGGATATTTTCAATTCTATATAATTGAATAAAGGAGACAATGTAAGAATACCTATTTCTAGTACTGTATTTAGATTGCAGCTGCTGATAATATATGATACGATAACAAAATATAAAAGTAATTATAGGACTCAATTATATACTACTTCGACTTTTTGCAAGTAGTCGTATAGATCTTTTCAGTTAATTTTGCTTAAATTTCTTTCAATAATATGAAACATACGATATCATCATGCTGACTTGTACTCTTATTCGTCGGCTCAGATTTAAAAGGATATCCTAAATAGCTGTGATTGGTATTATCATTTTGCTTACATGCTGAAGGTCTTTATCTCGAAAATTATATTAAATTCTAAGATAATTATCTATTACATATAAAATTAACGCATCAGACTTTACTTGAAATTGGTATAGCCTGCTGTCACGGTACGAACTACCGTGAAGAAATAGCTATCTAAATTTGGTTAATATAATATAGTGATAATATATTACATCTAGTTCCTTACAATAGGAATTACTCTAATTATAAATGTGTTACAGTAAATTTAATGCTGTGCTGTAATGTGTACTGCAATGATTCTGTGAATGGACATATTATAGTCCGACTGTGAAAAACTAGTTAGTAGATGTTCTCACCTAAGTATTTTTATAAGATAACTCGTGAATGTTAGCTGCTGTAGAAGGGCATATAAGCCCGTCAGATAGTTGAATAAAGCAGTTCTCAATTATCTAATTGAGTTTAACGTAGAAGCAAAGGCGTCTAAATTCTTGTGAGGTAGTTAAGGGATACTGAATCCCGGAGACTATAGTAATTTAGAGATTTGTTTTACGTTATCCTTGTCACGAAGCTGGTTTGTGACACCTGCATTATATAATTGTGCTGTGTACAGTTGTCTTAAGCTATAATCCGTTTGCATTTGAAATTAGAGGTCACGTAGGTTCTAGTTGATGTCATAAATACTAATAGAAAACAAAACAAAATTACCCAATTATGTAGCCAGTTGTAAAAAGACAATATGACAAAGAAAAGGTGCTCTATTTCCTATGCTCTCAACCCTATGACCGATAGTATTGATTTGCTGTGTTGTATAACTAAATTTGCATATTTGCTTTAATTTTGTAATAAAGTACAAGAACGCAATGAAGGAGAGATGTAAGAGTGAAAATTTCTCGACCGGAAGAGCATCAATACTCATGGTGGATACCTAAATACAACTGATATAGCGTAATTATGATTATGACCTTACTACAAATAAGGATTGTATCTGGTGGAAATATACAAATTGTAATATATATTCACCACCAGTAGCTGAAAAGTAGGGTAGAGCTTAAAGATATGGTATCTTCGGGGTAAAAGGATGGAATGAAGTATTTAAAAATAATGTCATCATTATCGGTATTGCAGCCATTACTATTTCCGTTGAGTCATTGACAGACGCTTAATGAAAATTTTGTGAAATTAAATTTTTTCGAATTAAAATTCGTATTTGTGAGCCTTTCATAAAACATATATTCTAGAAGATTGATTAAAATTAAGTTTATTTCAATGCTACGTTATGCGTAGACTTATTCGATACGTAATTTAAAAGATTGTAAACAATCAACTCTTTCTTGTGATTTTTTAGGATGTAATTGCTTGCTGAAGGAATCAATGACTGTTATAGGGCCAAATTTTAAATAATTTTAATTTTATTATATATTCAAGAACTGGGGGTCAACTAATAGACTAAATTATTCTTATCTATTTTTTGAATTCTATAACCTCAATTATATATAAACATTATACATACGAGTCTGAACCACTTTATTTAAAGATAGCATTAGCAAAATTGCCTTAAGAATTTAAATAAAGGACTTAGATCCGTTCCTGAAACGGACCGTGCACGTACATTGTCAAGTAACATAATATAATATCTAGCACCACTTATGAACTGATTAGTAAGATTTCTTTGAGTTTTAATTAATGCTAAAAATACTAAGCCAGCTTATTTTTAAATTAATGTAAATATCACTAGCTTTATGAATAATCTCCTAATTTGGATATATATTTTTGTTTACGTGTTTCTTGGAAATAAGGATAATTGAAATCCTTGACATGTAAAATTGTTATTCATTAGCAAACGTTCCAGTTCAAAGACGGATACGGACATCAGTTAATATCAAAATGGATCTGTCACATTTTCACTTCTGCGAAAAGGTAACGTACAGTAAAAGTCTATAAGTAACTGCTGACTTAAACGCCCTTAGCGTAAATGCACATAGCAAAAGACTGTAAAGATGAAACTTCTATTAGCTGAGATACAGTACATCTGCAACTTTTTACCACACCACTCAGCTCAAATGTTCCCGTTTATATAGGAACCGTCTAATTTGCAAACAACAACAGTATTATTATTATACCTTACTAGGAGAAATATCTCGAACTGAGATGTTCCTTACATAGCTTTTCTATCAGTAAATATTTTGAATGTCTTACTCATACTTAATCTTAGTGTAAGCTCGTAGGTTGTCTAATTCAGCTATCATCAACTAGAACTTGAATCATCTTAATGCTATCTATCACACAATAACAATCAATATCAAATATGTAATGAACTATTACAAACATCATCCAAGTTAAGGCATTACTTATCTTACCTAGCACTACAAATATAGATATTCTCCATACTAGCTACTACTGTACTTATTAAACTATCCTAATGACAAGGCAACACCGTAACAGGATCTTATACATAAAGATTTCAAATTTAATGTTTGAAAATTATTTTTACAAGAGGACGATACATAGTGACCTTTTAAATTGCTTTTAATTTTACATAAATACATTAATAGTTAATTACTGCCAGCAAATTTACCGCTAATTTGTTTTTACTAAGGGAGATAATACAGTAAGGTAGAATAGTTTAATCTAGTCTAATCAGACGTTTTTTTTGTCCTTTCCAGCCTTGTATGATGCCAATGTTGCTTTACATTATTCGGGCTAAAGTATGAATTGAATAGTATGAAACTAAAAAGATTTGAACAATAAGCAGCTACTTTAAACTTGGCTTACAAATCCGAAATGTCGTTTCTGTATACTCACTTGTGTTTAGTTCTGCTGAGGTTGGGCTAAGAAAACACTGCTTTGAATTTTAAAGTATATTTGAAATCTTGTAGTGTAGTATAAACTTTCTGTATGCGTTCAATAGGACTGCTGTGAATATGTGACAGTTTAAATTATTTCATCTACCTAACTTTTCACCCAATACACCATAATGAAATACAAAATGACGCAAAAATTTTATCAAGTAATTATATAATTAAGGATGGTGAATATCATTAATGTTTGTCGTGTCAGCTCAAGAAAAGCTAAGAGCAGACTAAACTTAGGCTTTTAAATTAGTTTATTAAACCAAGGTAGTCTTGATATCCAAGACTACTCTAATTACACACGTACACTACACGGTCAATCGTCATCAACTCACTAGCTAATGAAAGCACCGGGCTTTATATACTCTAGCTCGGCTGCACTCGGCGCACAGCTTAGGCAAATAACCCTAAAAATATATAGGTTCGTATAGCCGGCTGTCTATATGGTTTAGTATGGCAGACGGCGTAAACAACACTAACGAGTTACGAACTAATTAAGAGCCAATTAACAATCAAAGGGTCGGCATAAAGTAACAGAAATTACTACGTGTGAATATTAGTTGTCACCTCTGTAAGTAAACTATTCTGCACAGAGTCTACAACAAGTATGATTAGACTGCTAATAAAATTATAATTAACGAGTACCTAATAAATAAAGGTTATTAACAACTAATAAAATCTTAATTACTGAAACTAACGCTACGATTAATTTACGGAGTCTGTACTCCGTCACAATGTTACTTATATAAATATGCGGAAATATATTGCGTAGTAATATCGATAACTCCATTCATTGGTAAAGATTAATCTTAAACTGCAAGCATTCACCTGTTTTGAACGAAATTGTAAATTGCTCTGAATAGTAATAAAGCAGTAATTTTATTTACTATTTTTATGATTATTAGTAATAATGAAAATTGTAAGAATAAGCAATGGACTGACGTATAGAACCATTAGCTGATCCTATTGAAAACAAGCAAAATTCTCCTCTAGTTTCTTAGTTAATTCGACAATTATTTATTTTTAAAGAATAGTTTTCTAGATCCTTAGTAAACTGATATATTTCTTGTTAAAATGTCTATTGGCAATTGTAGAAAAGCGAGATACAGATAATTGCGTTATTAAAGTAAAATATATGACGTCAATAAATGCAATAATATCTATATACGTGTGATGGAGGGTTCGAAGAGTCAGATAATGTGGTTTTAGTTGCAATGCAGAGAATTGCACAAGGAGCTTAAGAAAAGAGGATACTTTATTGTAGATAGTAGTTAGGTACAGTGTGATAATTACGGTAGGTCAGCGTGGTAGCTGCCGTGAGTACAGTGTGAATACTAACTGCGACTAATAATGCAACTTAACAAATCTAAGGTAGAAAACGGCAGCATTTATAGCTATGGCATTAGAACACATGCAGAGAACATAATTGTAGGATTAGATACAACATATACCATAACAGGTTATAGAATAGCAGACGATTGTAGAAAATAGCGAGGACTGTAATAACTAAATGTAGTAAGCCATATTTGAATGTAGAGCGAACAGACTGTAGATATATCTAAATATAAGATCAATACAACATGTCTATGTTTTAGACTAGAATATAGTTCCAGTACATTCTAAATACACTACAATACGTATATAAGCTTTGTAGTAGCATCTGTAAAGATCATGAATTTAATTGTTATTGTCAATATCTATGCAGAAGTAAAATTAGATACAAGTTAAAATAGTATAATTAAGTAAGCATTTATAAGTGAATCTTATTCGATATTTGCGATAGTATAGATATGCTAATTTTAGTTTTACACTAAATTTGGATAATTATAAAGCTTTTCGCACGCACATTGTGTCACATAAAT